TTTTTATCTTCTTTTGGGTTTATAGCTTTTCTACGATGTAATTTAAAGTCATTTTGTTTATGAACATTGTAATCGAACATGTATGATGAATGTATGATGAAATCAAAGTTTTCCTTACGTTGCCATGTTGTAGAATTCATTAAATTAGCTTGCTAAATAGTTTATTTTACCATTCATGTATGTTGGGACTGATAGGGTTGAATGTACAGCTTAGAAATGTATTGGGGTAGCAAAATTTCAGACGTCCCAGGTTGGGAGCCGGCTCTCCCTTTTTGGGAGTCTACTCTTTTTAGTCCGGTAGCCAAATTTCATTAAAAACATAGCATGGAGCGTGCTCTTTTGGAGCGAAGCAGGCTCCTTCTACAGAAAGGAGACAGCTCCATCCAAAATGGGAGTCAGCTCCCTTGTTGCTTGTCTCTCTTTTTTTCTTTTTTTTTAATTCAGACTTTGGATGGCTATAACTTTCTCGTTTCAAATCCAAATGGGTTCATTCTTAATTCAAATTTCAAGTATTTTCAGTCAGCTTTCCAATGAAATTAATTTCACTCAAAAATTCAAATCGTAGATAGAGTTATGACCTTTTTAGTGTGGACTGCTCCGGAATTCCCTGAAAACGAAGGGCGTAATTGTGTGAAATCCACATTCTTATATTCGGGACTTTGTGTCATGGGTTCAAATGACCCTTATGACTAATGTTGACCTATTTAGACTCATTTAGAGTTATATAATTAATTTACACACCCTAGTTGACCGTTTTGTCCTCGGTTGTTTTCGGGTTCGAGTAAGGACCCACGAGTTCGGGTCGTTACAGTACGTTGAGTGACATTGACCCAAACCTTTAGGTGCATCAGTGCAATTTACCCTAATTTCAAAAACCAATTTTGTATAAGCCTGGATTTTTCTTCACGTATATAAAACAAAACTGTCAATTTCAAAAAAAATGTGCTCCTTTCACACATCTTTTTCCATTTCCATTAAGGTTCATATATATGTGTATGTATATATGTAAGCATATGTGAATGTTTCTATTATACGTGATTCAAATTTCTGCGCATATTGCTGTAGAAGGAAACAAATCCGATGTCATTTTAGATAACCCCATATGGATTTCATACGACCAATGCAAATTACCAAGTTGATATTTAAGTTGATAAGGTTTCACAAACATAACTTACAATGACATAGATGATTGAGAAGCAAGCAATTGTCCAATATCTTCCTAGATATGCATCAGCCAGAAATGCTCCTATTAGTGGTGTGATGTAGTAGGTTCTAGACCAATTCAAATCATTCTTAGAAGCGGTAGCACTGTACTGGTTCAGACGATGCTTGAAATAAAGTACCAGATTGATGTTACGGCAACCTTTCACAGCATTCATTTCCTCCCAATCACCATAAAAACCTATAAAAATTTTGACACAAATTTCAGATTCTTTAAACTTGAGTAACTGATTAATAAGATGCATACATACGTAGGATAAAGGGACATGCCTGACATGCCTTCCATGTTCCTGTTTTCTTCTTATTGACAGGATTATTTTTGTAATCCACCGTCCCATCTTTCATATACATATCATCTTCTGCCAAGCTTACCTTCCCATCTTTACTATAGATATCATCTTCTGCCATGGAAGTCTAAAAAGTGCTCTATGCTTGATTTAGCATTCTATTTGTTTAGCTGGACATTGGGCACAGAGACAAATTCATTTCATGGAGGAGACAACATGAAAAAATTGGTAGAATTATGATTCCTCTGCTATATGATTGCTAAGAGGAGAGAAGAAAAGAAATGAGCATTTTGGCAGATTAGGAAATTTTATTCTCAGTTTTATTTTCTTCTCTCACTTTTAGCAACCATTAGGTTCAATCCTCACTCACCGGTATCTGAGCAATTCTTCTGTTGCTTTTACAGAACTTCCTTCTTGTATCATCAAACCGTCACCCATTAATACAACACCAACATTGTTTGATTCCAAATTCAAAGCAATGCCTATTGTCCCCTCTTCAAATTCTACTAATTCACCTGCCATTACTTTATCAAGACCATGAAAACGAGCAATGCCATCGCCTACTTGAGGTACAGTACCGGTATTTACAATCTTTACTTCTCTATTATATTGCTCAATTATGTTCACGGATAATATTACTTAAGATTACTGAAACACAAATCGAAGGTAAACGTACAAAACAATATAGACTATAAATACCCATTTACACATAATTCAGAGGTCTAGCCATCATCTCAGAGGCTCAGAAATCAAAACCACCCCACCCCAATATATTTATGGGAAGCTAATTTTGAATAAATGAATGGAATTTTGTTACGACAAATGCAGCGAACCCAAGCAACAATTACAAAACACGACAAAAAAATAAACACACCATGCAAAGATTTTTACGTGGAGATTAGACGAAAGTCTTTAGTATGTGTAAAATGAGAGATTACAAGTTTCAGCCCTCACTGTCTTTTCTATATAATTTTCAGTGTCTCTGGATCATACACTTTAAACCCTAAGCACCCTTATATATCGGGCTACAATAGCACTAATTAAGCTCCACGACCCACAAGCAAAACGGGTCAAAAAATTTCTTGTCGCAACACGACCTGACAACAAATTCGGGCCACAACATCACATCTTAACAAAATGAATGAATTTAAACATAAAAAAATAAAACTTTACACAACTAGGGAAAAAAAAACTCAACACATTTTTCACATAAAAAGTTTATGTGAAATATAAGATGAAGCCCAAATATTCATCAAATCAAACTTTTGCAATGTCACTATCACAAGAAATGATGATGATGATATTGAAGATCACGTTACAAGAGTGGAAAGTCATGTGCCAGTTATTCAGGACTGCAATGTGGTCTCTACCACCACAGTGCAGGACATGTAGGAGAGGAAACATTTTTGTGTTCGGACATCCAAACACAAATACAGCAAGAAAGGCTGCATTTCTGATTTCTCCAATAATTCATTAAAACAATTCCCATGAGCTCTACCTTTTCTATAAAGCAAAAATGCATACACTTTCATCTAACTTCATACCAAAATATATGTGCGTGTAACACTATCCTTTGCTGGACCCAAAAAAATATACTCACTCACTCGTGTTGTCTCCCATGCTTTATTCTATTTCTTTAGTGTTTTGTGCAGAATACAACCCAGAATCTTATTATTAACCTGATTCTTGGTGCCAATGACAAACATGAGGCATAAGCCCACCATTAAATTGACAAAAACCTACTAAATTTATTATTAAGAAGATTTATAGATATATTGGTTTAAATTAGTATAATTACAGAAATAAACAAATAAGCACGTCCTTCTGTCAATGCAATTTTTACCGCATGAATCGTCAACAAAACAAGGCACAATATAATTTAAAAGGATTGTCTATCAAAATACCGCTAGTGGTGCTTGTAACTTGGTGCAATTGATCTTAAACCTGCGATGCTGAAAAGACAAATTTATTGAAAAATCATTAAACTAATCATATTTTATGTGATACAATGTTAAAAAACTGATAAACATGTTCGTAAAATGAGCAGCCCCCTGCCTTGCAATGCACAAAAAGAGATGTCCATGCGGACATACAAGAAATCATAAACTAAGAAATGAGGCACATTATCAAGTCCCACGTTACGAAACAGAAATGAACTTGTATAGAGCCCATAAAGCACTAATAACGAAAACATGCAGCATATAAGTCCATCCACCTCCCATAGCTTGGAAATACAGATATTCAATATGAAGATAGGTGCCCGCCTAGGCACTTGGAGTGGTGCCACAAGTCAAGTTAATGCCAGATCAAGAGGAAAAGAAAAAAGAAAATAAAACGCATCCATAATACAATTTTTAAGTTTCTACTATGCAGTTGTTGGAGGCATAACCATATTACATACAATAAATTGAAATTCCTTGTCCGGACTTGATAGAAAATATATTGAAATAACACCAAATTTCAGAACAAGTTCTTACAAAGTTGAGTAGAGTATTTCAGGATATCCACAAAAATATTAATACTACAAAGCATTCAATCTAATAAATTGTGGACGTCCAAATACTGAATGAACATCTCATTTAGCTCTGACAAAAACCCAGGAAAAAAGTATCCGATCTCCATTGCTGCATCAGCTTCCATATAGTCCTAGGCAAACAAAAATATGTAATAAATAATTAAACATTAAAAATAAATAAAAATTTTGAAAAATTAAAATTCACACCTTTTGGTTTCCCAATGATTGGTGCAAATATTTTCCGGAATGCTTCACAAAGTTTGTTATCAACATATTTAGCTCAGACAATGAAGAACCGTACTTGCACGCGCTTATGACTTGATTTTGAAATTTAAAATTCATCATGTCATATCCAAGAAATTTCTTTCCATTTGCATGAGTTTTATTTACGATTATGTAACGCCAGTCCATTCCACAGGGAGGATACGTGAGTGCGTTCATCGTTTGCCTAACTGAAGTGACGGAGCTTTGAAGACGTTTCTCCATATAGTGCCCAATTGCCACGTAATAATTGAATCTCTCTTTATCAGTCATGAGGACCGGGTGATTCCTCAGATTTTTGGCGCTATAACACAATAAAGCAATTTAATAAAAGTGGGGGATCTAAAGAAAATACAAAAATGATATTATTGGATGATGCAAGTGGAGAACTCACCTGGCCTTATCCAACTCAAAAAATTTCAGGAATAATTTCCAATCCAAATTTGTTGTATTTGGCTGCTGACATTGTTGGGTTAGAAAACTCTTGAGGGCCTGCAAGTCTTTAGGCGTTATCAATTGGCTGGAAAAAATGAGATACATAGTGTTCCCGCCTCTCATCACATATGAAGAGGCGTCATCGAGAGCACCATGTATCATGTCCTTCTCATGAATATCCTGGATGGCACCTAAGATGTTTCTGCAAGTACAAAATATTAAACTCTAATATTAACATTTAAAAATATATATATGAATAAAACAAAACAAAATTAAAGAACCTTATGGATGTTTTCCAGAAAGGGTTCAAGTCCAAGCTGTTGTAACTGTTCCTCACGAAGAATGCCTCTTTTGAGTAGTGCTCTCTCATTGTCCACTCTGAGTAGTGCTCATCAAAGTGGTCATAAACCACTAGAGCATTTTCCCCTTTAGAGTCGAGAATTACGTCTTTTGGTGATAGGAGATAAGGATTTCTGACATCTAATGAAAATGACGACGCAAGTGAATCACAAAAATCTGGCGGACGACGGAATACTCTTAACTTTTTCACGCTTGTTTACAAATCTTTGTCACTCACCCTCCCATGATTTGCTCATGTCATTCTCCCAATGATTTGCTCATGTCATTCTCGGATTCGTATTTAAATTCCGTTCTTAAATTTACCCACAGCTTTCTCAGCTTTCTCAACTAGATCCTTCGGATTGGTGTTTAACATTAATTTTAGCTGAAACACACAGAAGAAATTCAAGTTTACCAACCCAATCTCATCAATGCGGATCAATTTGAACAAAATAAAGAGCGAGATCAAAAGAAGACAGCAACAAAACAAAACAAAACAAAAAACCAGAAAAAAAAATAATAATAATAAAAAATAAAAAAATAAATAAGATCATTCTTATAGAGGAGAGGGGTTGCAACCCTAAATCATACAGAGGAGAGGAGAGGACGCCACCCAGCCAAGGGTGGATACAGGATTTCTTAATGGGGTGGGCTAAATCAAAATATATCAAACCAAAATCAACGGTTGTTTAATTCAATTTTAATTAATTAACAATGTTTCTTTAGATAATTGACTGATTAAGGCATAGAAAATCCTATTTGGGTAATTAATAAAAAAAATTACCAATTTATTTCTAAACAATTCACCACTCAGTACCCTATATCTTCTTTTGACCAATTTACTAATCCTATTTGAGAATCTACTAGTGGAAGCAGAGTGTGAGGTAGTTCATGGCAAGCCCCTTCCAACACTATGGAATTCACTCAAAACCATGCTTTTTGTAAGTATTTTAATATTCAAGAAGTAACTTTAGAGATTTACCCTATACTAATCAAAGTTCTTGTTACGATTTTTTTTTAGTTCTGAAAAGATTTACATCTTAAAAAAACTAGGCATGTTGATAAAAATTGTTTTAGATTCAATCTCGGAAGATTTCCAATCCAATTCAGATTCTTCTTTTTTTCTTTTTTCATGCCCAGATTCAAATTTTGACCAATTTACTAATCCTATTTGAGAATCTACTAGTGGAAGCAGAGTGTGAGGTAGTTCATGGCAAACCCCTTCCAACACTATGGAATTCACTCAAAACCATGCTTTTTGTAAGTATTTTAATTTTCAAGAAATAACTTTAGAGATTTACCCTATACTAATCAAAGTTCTTGTTATGATTTTTTTTAAGTTCTAAAAAGATTTACATCTTAAAAAAACTAGGCATGTTGATAAAAATTGTTTCAGATTCAATCTCGGAAGACTTCCAATCCAATTTAGATTCTTCTTTTTTACTTTTTTCATGCCCATATTCAAATTTTCTTGTAGACATAATTGACAACAGAAGAAGAAAAAAAAAAAAATATATATATATATATATATATATATATATATATAGAAATAAAAATATATCAAAGTAATAAATCATCCATGAGCCGAGGATGTTTCCAAAGATGAGCACTTATCAACATCATCAGTAGTCATCACTAGGGTATTAACATCCTCCATCTAGAATCGTCATCTAGAATCATTTCTGTTACATAGATATACATTTGATTAAGATAAACTGGAAAGAGACTTCTTATCATAATTGGTCATTTTAAAACCAACATCACGGCTACAACGGTAAGGGGATTTATATAATTCAATTAGCTGGACAAAAAAAACATACCTATTTTCTTTTTTGCCAACTCCACCCATTCCTATCGACTCTCTTCTTTCATAAAAGAGACCTATATTATTAGGACAAAAGAGGAAAAGTTTTAAAAGTGTTAATAAACTTGTAAAACATATATTCTGAAATTAAAAACTAAACTTCCAAATCTTTAATTCCCATTAATAAATCGTTCGAGCATCACATCATAACAATATTATATATATGTATGTAGAAACAAAAACAAAAACAAAAAAATCAGTAAGTAAAACATGAATAAATATACGTAACCAATAGCTAAAAATGCCAATTAAAATTTTAGAAAAAGTAAGAGTTTGTACCTGATGACTGAGGAGGCATGTTTCTTGAACCTTGTTCTTGCTAAATGTTAAGGCCCGATGCTAATTCTAAAAATAAAAAAACACTAAGTTGTAAGGAAAAGGTTTCACAATCTCACTCATAACAATTAAAACACCACCATCTAAGTACTATCTGTATCATGTATCAACCCAACCCAAAAATGCTTTCAGTCAAAATGTTGGATACCTATCCATAGAAAGAGGTATAATTACGGATAGGTGTATTATACTCGGCTCTTATGTTAAATTAATCCAATAACAAAGTACAATGCATCAGTTTAAGAATAATCTTCAAAATTAACAAATGAATATCCTCTATCATGCATTCTAATAACAAAAGAAAATCAAAAACCAAAATTTGAAAATAAAAATATGCCAGAAAGATTGAATATATCCTTCGTGCATTACACAGATTGTATTTCTATGTGAAACAAAACATTATTAGTAGGGCGGATCCAGGATTTCTCAATGGGGTGGACTAAATCAAAATATATCAACCAAAATCAACTGTTGTTTTATTCAATTTTAGTTAACTACCAATGTTTCTTTAGACAATCAACTGATTAATGCATAGAAAATCCTATTTGGGTAATTAATAAAAAAAATTACCAATTTATTTCTGAACAATTCACCACTCAGTACCCTATCTCTTCTTTTGACCAATTTACTAATCCTATTTGAGAATCTACTAGTGGAAGCAAAGTGTGACGTAGTTCATGGCAAGCCCCTTCCAACACTATGTTATTCACTCAAAACCATGCTTTTTGTAAGTATTTTAATTTTCAAGAAGTAACTTTAGAGATTTACCCTATACTAATCAAAGTTCTTGTTATGATTTTTTTTAGTTCTAAAAAGATTTACATCTTAAAAAAGCTAGGCATGTTGATAAAAATTGTTTTAGATTCAATCTCGGAAGACTTCCAATCCAATTCAGATTCTTCTTTTTTTCTTTCTTCATGCCCAGATTCAAATTTTCTTGTAGACATAATTGACAAAAAAAAAAAATAGAAGTTATAGAAATATATATATATATATATATTTGTTTTGCTGAAAAATAGTTAAGAAGTATTGCCTAAAAAATATAGTTCAGAGAGTTATTTATTTATTTATCTTTTTTTTTTTTTTTTTCAGAAGCTCAGAAAGTTATTTGTAAATTTAAACATAGCAGGGTCAAATTTTTTGCACCCTACTCAAAAAATTTGCCATTTTACTTTCCTCTAAACAATGGAAAATGAACCAATAATTTAAAAAATAAAAGACGTAAAAATTTCAATAAACCGTATCTCTCTCAAATATTGGTTTATAGGTAATAAGATGCTTAACAAGTACAAACAAATCATAAATAAGTCAAATTTGGTCACGATCTAAAAGTTAGCATGAAGGGCTCCACTTTTTGACTCAACAAAAGCAAGCTTTACTAAGCACAGGTATTGACTGAGTCCATAATGGGGTAAATAAATTAAAACCCAACCCATACATACAAGTTAGCAGTTGCAGAGAGACAGGGGGCAAGCTTGAGAGTTGAGATACAGCGGACCAGCGGCTGAAGCTTGCGAACGGCTCAGATCTGATAAATGTTGGGTGCTAATAACATCAACAAAAAAATAATAACCAAAAAATAAATTAACATAAAAATCTATAAAATAAAAAAAAGAGAGAAAAGATAGAGACAGAGAGAAAGATCTATACTAACTCAGATCTGATAAATAGTTCGGCTGAAGCTTGCGAACGGCGACCTAGAATTGGAACAGCGGCCGATGGAAACTGTAAGATATGGGTTTTGATTTTTTGAACAATCTGAAATGATACGCCGATATGGGTTTTGATATAGGTAATAGGTTTTGATTTCTTGCAGACAGATAGATAAACTGAAATATATGGGTTTTGAACTTCTGATTCTTGTAGATTTTGTAGTTTGCAGTTGGAGAGAGAGAGGGAGAGAGAGGGAGAGGGAGAGAGAGAGAGAGAGGATGGGGCAAGTTCAGAGTCGAGAACGAGAATAGAGATGGAGGCGAATGGGGAGGCTGAAATGATTTGCCCTAAAAATATTTCGTTTTTAGGTGAACTATAAATTTTTTGAGCCCTAGACGACCGCTTTTGTCGCCGTGGGTCAGGCCGGCCCTGGCTTTTTTGAGTTGGGACTTTATTTTAGTATGGTGGTCAACTTAACGCACTTACAATAAGGGTGGCAGTTGTTTTACCATGCTTGACAACTTATTTTCTAATTTTAAGGGTGCCAATTTAGGTATTTAACTAATTTCAATAAATGGGATTTTTTTTTTTTACTCAGGCTTCAAGAAAAATAAAATTATTAAGGCCCAAAACTTGAAAAGCCACACTTGAGCCCAGCAGACTTATATAGCATGCAGTAATAATTGAACAATAACAACAGGAAATAATAATAATAATAATAATGAGGATAGTAGCATGTAAAGTTGATGCCGTGGTGTGATACTAGACCTTCTTTTTTTTTTTTTTTTTCACGTGTGACACTAATTACTAATACCGAATCTAATACATAGTAATGAAAACAAATACAATTATTGGATTATATAAATTTGACATATACTACTTTGTTATTTAATTAAAAAAATTAATAATTAATTAAACTAACAATTGAAGAAACAATTAATTGAATTAGCCTTTAAAAAAAAAACAATTAATTGAATTAAATTTTAAATAAGTAAAAATAAATAAAAAAGGAAAACCAATGGCATACCAAAAGTAGTCAATGTTGTGGTGATTTCCAACACCATCGGAGTACAACCGTTGACCCTGTCGACCGGACACTCCATTAAGAAGAAGAAACATGAAAAAGTTATATATATTATGCCACACCATGATGCTTCTTTTTGTACTTTTTTGTTAAGTACTTATAATATATTTCATGAAATATTGTCAAATATATATTTGAATATGATTAACAACAAACTGAATCTTATTGCTTGAAGACAAATACGAAGTGATATCGTCGCAAGTAGAAAATCAAAGTCATGGTACACGTTCTTCATCTAATTATGCTTTTTTTTCTTCTTCTAACTTACTCAATTTGATTTATTTTTCTAATAATATTGAATGTGTAGACTATTTATTGGTGGTGATACTTTATTATTATTGGTTGGTTGTCATATGGGCACACAATTATTTGTTAGTGGTGATAAATTTATAATTATTAGTTAGTTGACTTATGTACACTGCACATGCGCACAATTATTTATTGAAATTGAACACAATTTATATTGTAGTGTGTTAAGTTTTGGTTTAATGTATTACTTATAGAAATTAAAAATATCCTGTGAATATATTTTATGAACTCAACGTCTATAATTTTTTTATTTTTTTGCATGTGAAACTTTATGTGTAAAGGGCTCAAACGTAAGAATTCACCTAGAACCTCTCGAAATTTTGAGTCTCAGGGCGGGCCTGTCTAAAACTAAGTAGAGAGGCGGTGACTGTGGAGTTCTATATGACTATAATCAGCGTCGTCATCTACCTTTAAGTGTTATTTAAAGGTTTTCAGACATAATTGAAAAAAAAAAAATGAAATAGAAGTTATAGAAATAATATATATATATATATATATATGTTTTGCTGAAATAAAATGTAGTCCATGGGGGCATTTTGTAAGAAATTTTTTTTCATGATACACGATTTGGTTAAACAAATGCTTAACAAATACAAACAAATCATAAATAAGTTAAATCTGGTCACGATGTAAAAGTTAGCAAAAGTAATTAAGGATGTAAAAAATAATTTTTATGTGGTTAAAGGGTAAAAAATATTTACTAATGAATAAAATCATAGTATTAATAACAAAATGGTAACTAATCAATAATATCCACAACAACAAATCTAATGAACAGGGCAAACAACATCGCAATACTGAAAGTATGAACAAAGGCGTGGCCTATTTATCTTCCCTCTCAAAATTTTCTCTCTAACAAATTAAAAATTAAAATGAAAGAAATAAAGTTTACTTTGAGAGTAATGTTTAGAGAGCGAGAATAAAATAGAAAGAAATAAAATTACCGAGAACTATGACTTACAATAATATAAGTGTAGTATTTAGAGAGTGAGAATTCACTATTGACTAGTAGGTTAAATTCTTTCCACCTACCAGTCAAAAGATTTGACTGAATGACTATAATATTATGAATTTTATCCGGAATTAAATACTCATAACTAATTTTCTAAATTTAAGATTTAGGTTTTAGAGGGAGAGAAGAGAGCGACAAGAACAAAACAAAAAATCAGGTAGAGAGAGAAAGAGAGACTGATCTTCAATCCTTGATTTTGGATTGTTCCAATGGCAACAAAGATTTTGAAGTCTCTTTTTTCTTAAAAGGAAGATGACGTCGTTCTAAGTTTTTCAGTCGGACAATGCTTATGTCTAAAGAGACCTGATCTTCAACTCTCACTTTTGGATTGTTCCAATGCCAACAAAGATTATGAAGTCCACTTTCTCTCGAAAGGAAGACTGCGTCGTTATGAGTTTTTGAGTCACTTGTGTCCAATTGTTACAAGTGAAACTTGTCCCACATCGAATTTGGATGGGGTTAAAGTGTGTATAAATGGGTGGGTATGCAGCACTACCCAATAGTTCGAGCTTTTAGGTAAATGGACAAGCGCCCACCGGTTACAGTTGGTATCAGAGTCAGACTCAGTCTTTAATCCTGTGTCACGCCAAACGCCCGGCCCGGAAGGTGTCTGGGTCTGCCTCCGGATAGGCAGGGTGGTCCAACCGCAACGAGGGCATTGCGTGGGTTCGGGTGGGGAAGAATGTTACAAGTGAAACTTGTCCCACATCGGATTTGGAAGGGGGTTGAAGTATGTATAAATGGGTAGGTATGCAGCACTACCCAATAATTCGAGCTTTTGGGTAAATGGGCAAGCGCCTATCCGTTACACCAACCTAGTAATACTTCATCCAACCCAGTGACGTGGACAGGGTCAAAAATAAAATATAAATTAAGTTGGTATTACCCAATTTAATTCAGATTTGACCCAGGGACCAAAATAACCATGTCTTCTCCCTCTTCATTGTCTCTCTACCGCTTCTCCAACCAAAACAATCCACTGGCACTTAAAATTCGATCGATATCAAACATTAAGAACTCCAATTTCTCCGGCTGGCCCCCAATATCCAATCCACTTGCGGCGTGAACCAAATCAAACACATTGTCATAAAAGGGAGTCTATGATCTAAACTCAAGAACAGGGGAAAAAGCCCTCTCGCCGCAAAGACTAGAGGGAGAATCGTAGTTTTGTTAGGGTTTTGTTGAAGAGAGAATCGAGGAAGCTATTGAAGATTTGTGTTTTTTTGACACATTCTCAGATTCTGGCCTTTGGTTTAAGGAGGAACGAAGTCCATAGCAGAGCATTTTGTCTCTCTGTGTTGAAGCTATGCTTTTAGATGGTCACTATTGGCTCTGATCTGTGGCATAGACAGGTAATAATAGTATTTTCTCTCTTCATATATATGTTTGTGTGTGTGATATTTATTGTAGTGGCTATCTCTTTCTATTTCTTTGTTTGGAAATGAGATGTCTTACATGATTATATATATGTTGTAACTTTGATTCTTGACAGCATTTATTGAGAAAGAGAAACAAGCAATTAAGTAGAGATTTCTTGTTCATTCCTTTTGAAGAACACTGTTTGATTCTGTACCGACTGAAAATTGCAACAATTGGGTTCGAGAACAAGCAATGGAGGACAAAGAGAAGATTTTGGACTCTCAACTATGGCACGCTTGTGCTGGAGGTATGGTTCAAATGCCTCCTGTGAATGCCAAGGTATTCTATTTTCCTCAGGGCCACGCCGAGCACGCCCTTGCTAGTGTTGATTTTGGGGCCTCACGGAGGGTTCCGTCACTAATCCTTTGCAGGGTTGCTGCTGGGAAGTTCATGGCAGACCCTGAAACTGATGAAGTTTATGCCAAGATTAGGTTGGTTCCGATTGGAAACAACAAGCTTGATTATGGTGAAGATGGTGTTTTGGGGAGTAATGGGTCTGAAGCCCCTGAAAAACCTGCTTCTTTTGCGAAAACTTTGACTCAATCGGATGCCAACAACGGTGGGGGTTTCTCCGTTCCTCGATACTGTGCGGAGACTATATTTCCCCCCTTGGATTACTCAGCTGATCCCCCAGTTCAAACCTTAATCACGAAGGACGTTCATGGTGAGATTTGGAAGTTTAGGCATATCTACAGAGGGACACCTAGGAGGCATTTGTTGACCACAGGCTGGAGTAATTTTGTGAACCAGAAAAAGCTGGTTGCTGGGGATTCAGTTGTGTTCTTTAGGGCAGAGAATGGGGATCTATGTATTGGAATACGGCGGGCCAAGAGAGGAATTGTTGGTGGGTCTGAATCCCCATCTGGATGGAATTCTTCTGCCGGAAATTGTGTTATGCTTTATGGGGGATTTTCAGTCTTCATAAGGGGAGATGGGAATAAACTAATGAGAAATGGTAGTAGTGGGAATTTGAACTGTAGTGGTTTGAAAGGAAGGGAAGAGTGAGACCAGAATCAGTTATCCAGGCCGTGTCCCTTGCTGCCGAAGGGCAGCCCTTTGAGGTTGTGTATTACCCTCCTGCAAGTACTTCGGAGTTTTGCATTAAGGCTTCATCTGTTAGGACTGCAATGAGGATTCAGTGGTGCTATGGGATGAGGTTCAAAATGGCATTTGAAACCGAGGATTTTTCCTGGATCAGCTGGTTTATGGGAACTATAGCTTCTGTTCAGGTTGCTGACCCCATCCACTGGACTTATTCCCCATGGCGGATTCTCCAGGTATCTTTGTATAAAGATAGAGCTCTATTTTCTCAAATTTTTTATTCTGAATTTTGGATTAACTTCTATTGATGTATTTATTTTTGTTTTAGCTATGTCATTTTGTTAATCATGTTACTTTGCACATTTAGCAATGTCATCTATTTTCTCAAACCCATTATGCTTGCTTTTAAGTTTAATATAACCAATTTGAAAGATTCACTATCATTGTAAAAGTCGTGATACAATATAGATAATTGGTGTTTGTCAGTGGATGATAGTAGTTATTTCATTTCTGGTGCCATAAAATATACATTTTGCTTTTTGTCCCAAATTTTTCATGTTTCTTAGGTATTCTTGTTAAAGG